CATAGAAAAGACAACAATAACCACAAAATTTTCAGCATATCTAGCAGAAGGGTTGAATTCTTGAAGCAACATTTAGGATGGCTGCCCAGGAAGATCATTGGTTTTCAGGTTCAATGCCCTGCACTCAGTCTCAGTAGCACTCCAGTTTATTGAAAGATCCTCTCTGAGGAGAGAACACAAAACATGGTCCATATTTGGAGCTGTTAATGAAACAAAGTATACAAATATAGGGTGTGTGCTCATATAAAATGTTCTGTGCTCCCAATAACCACAGCTCATTCATGCTCACTTCCAGGTTTCCTTCAGGAACAGTTTTTCCTGCGTTCAAAATTTAAGGTAGCACTCAGAAACTAAGATGGATAATGTTTCCATGCAGCACTGAAAACTCTAGACTAACAGAATGTCTAAGATGACCAAATTGTGAAAAATCTTATTTTATTATTGTTTTTGCGTTGCTTTTGTTTCCCTGTGGTGCTGGGGATGGAACCAGGGCCTTACTCGAGCTGGGCAAGCTCTCTCCACATAGTTATGCGCCCAGCTCTAATTTTAAATATAGAAAGCGCTTTCCCTAATTTCCACCCTATGTCAACCCTGAGTTTCCTAATTTGAGTAGTTTCTATGTCACATGTATTTACCTTGATGTCCAGTTGTGATCACCATCACTCTGGTGCAACCACTCCGTGGCCTTAGGCCCTCAGGGTAGTTTTTCACTAAGGGGAGGAGGAGGGGAAAGAGACTGGAAACAAGACAGACATGACCAGTAACAAAATGAAGCATGCAGGGTCGGGGGAAAAAGCACCAACAGAGGAAGCCACTTACCCAGCGAACATTCCAGGGAATTTAATGCGCAGGAAAACGTGCTCCAACTGGTGCACTTCCAACTCTTTGAAAGGGCGGTAGGCTCTGCAATCCACATCCACAGGCTGAGACCCGGTCTCCTCACTGCCACTTCCACAGCCCATCGGGTTGCCGTCTTCTTTCATGGTGTCCCGATCTCCCCTGACCAGGCAGCTCTCTTCTCCCGCCACTCCCTGCTCATCTTCGCACTTTATTTTCTCCCGGGCCTCGTGTCCTTCCCCTCCAGTCACCGAAGTCACTGTGGGCTTCACGCCTGGAAAAGAGGAAGGGGACAGAAGTCCCTGGAGATAAGAAGGTGGGACGGATGTAGAGGAGAAAAGACAAGAGCTAGAGGAGCGAGCAGGTGGTGGTGCAGGACTTCACCGCGAGCTGAAGGACTGCTGAGTGAGGGACAGCACGCAACAATGGCGGCGAAGGAGCCACCTGTCCACTCAATCGGCCTCAGGTTTGCTTCTGGGAATTCAGCTCAAGTCATCTGTGCACCTACCCTGCGCCTCTTCCTGTAGCCCTTGGGCTTCCAGGCTCTGGAAGCTGCTTCTCTGTGGAAGGTCCATAAGGCGATGTGTTCTGAGCTGGGCAACAACACTCCAACTCCAAGCTGCCGCTTCCCTTCCGGCTGCTGGTCTGGGCAATAGTGGTTCTTACAGCTCTGCTCCGCCTTCTATTTGAGGTTCTCACGAGATTTCATTGTGCTATGACGTGATGTGGGCTGCAGCTTCTGGGGCGCATGCGCAACTTCTTTCTAAGCCACTTGTGATTCTGTGGAGCGGCCATGGAGGTGGTCGCGAAATTGCAAGAGAGTTATTGAGTGTGTGTGTGTGTGTGTGTGTGTGCATGCATGTGTATGGGCTCAACTTGGAAGCTTAGTGAATATTCCCACTTCTCCCTTTCACTTTAGCCGTGCCAAGAAAGGAGCTGGGGAAGAGGAACATGAGCAAAGCTGCTCGCCTGTGCTTTGCATAGTCCCATTGCTCATCCTCTCCATTCCATCTGGTGCCTCTCTGTTTGTACAAGTTGAATGGGGGAAGCAAGAGGGGCAGAGGAACAAGACCACTCACTATGACCATATCTGGAAACGTATTTGGAGAAAATCTATCAGTCTAGCCCTCCATACAGAGTAGCTTGTTTGTGGCAATTTTCCCCTACCTTCTCAAGAGTTAGAGGGGAAAAAAGAAGAATTAGACTCAAAGGAGCAGAACGAAGTGCGCAGACATCCTTACCTCCAAGCTTGAGAAGCAGGAGAGCCTTAGAAACAAGTTGCGCCTGCACCCTATCAGGTATAGCTACATCACAACGAAAGCTCGCGAGAACCTCGAATGAGCGGAGGAGGTGCAAGAACCACTTTTGCCTAGATCAGGAGGGGGAAAGGCAGCAGCGGCGGGGAGGTGAGGTGCTACAACATTTCATCATGGATGTTCCGAAAGAGAGCAGCTGCCAGAGCCTGGAAGCCCCTGGGCTCCAGGAAGAGGTGCAGGGTAGGTACACAGATGATTTGGGGTGAATTCGCAGATACAAAGCTGGTGCGGGTCCAGTGGGGGGGGGGGGGGGCGGCTCCTTCGCCGCCATTGCTGCGTGCGGCCCTCACCTCGCGGCAAAGCCTCCATCACCACCGCTCTCTCTAGCTCTCGCCCTCTCACTCCGCGTCTCTCCTTTGCAGGCGTGAAGCCCACAGTGACTTCAGTGACTGGAGGGGAAGGAGACGAGGCCAGGGAGAAAGTAAAGCGCGAAGATGAGCAGGGAGCAGTGGGAGAAGGCCCTTGCCCTGGCGCAGGCATGGGCGCAGGCACAAACTTGGGCTCGGGCTTGGGCTCTCTGGCGGTCATAAAAGACGATGGCGGCACCGAGAAACCTGGGCAGCTGGAGTGGGAGGAGCCTGAAGAGGAGCTGTCCCACGGTGAAGCCGAGGGCTCTCAGCCTCCAGATATGGATCACATCACCCTATGCCGCACTGTCAGTGAGTTGCGACTGCACGAGGTGGAGCGCATTTTCCAACGCACTCAATATCCTGAAATGTTAGCTAGGTAAGTGGCTTCCTCTGCAGACCCTCAATTCCCCCGTCTCATTCCCTCCCCCTTTTTACTAAAAGCTATGTTGGGGGCACACTCCAGGGTGACAGCAATAGTGACTGGGCATTAAGGTAAATATTTTTCATATAGGAATGAAAACGTTAGCAAATTTTTAACTTTTGTAAACATACTATAGGACATAGAAATCATAATGAGAAAAAGAGGCAATCTTTAAAAGTATGGGGGGGTGTGTGGAAGTGGCAAATACCTTGGATGGAGGGCTTGCATGGCAATACGCTGGGATTAATCCCCAACACCACAGGATGGCAACAAAACCAACCCTCTCCCCCCATAAATATAGTAAAGTTCAAATGATTTGGTCATTGTACAATTCTTCCATTAGTCTTGGTTTTTACAATATCGTATTTAACTATGTTAAGACTTAAATATATACATATATATATATATATATATATATATATATATATATATATAAAATTGCCAGTCTAGGGTTGAACTCACTGCCTTTGAGCATGTTTATGTTCATGACTAGTGCTCTACCACTTGAGCCACTTGCAGCTTTTTCTGAGTAGTTTATTGGCAAGAGAGTCTCATGGACTTTCCTGCCTAGGTTGGCTTTGACCCAGGATCCTCAGATCTCAGCCTCCTGAGTATCTAACATTATAGGAGTGAGCCTGGGATGTTTAGCTAAATTCCAAATTTTAATAATGTTCACCTCATGTCTCTATACAATAAAAACTATGTGTAAAGTAAGCCTGGGCTTTGGATATTGCACAAAATCATCTAGAGGGGAAGGTGGGATTTTTCCATTGTTCATGAAGTATGTGTCCTTGAATTTAATATCATCCACAGCTATAAATATGGACATTTGCTATTTTCTTCCTTCAGAGAGGATCCGCCAGTGCCCCTGAGTGCTACTGAGTCTGACTGTCAGGAATCTGAAAAACAATGATTTTCCTGTGCAACCATCCCAGAACCTTCAAGACTTCAACCCTCTCTTCCTATATAGGCTTATTTGTTTTTTTGTCTTTTCCATAGTTGAGGAATATGTTTTGAGTGTTGAGGTCTTTTTGCTGTGAGAAATGGTAAACCCCCAGCCTGTGGAAGTTTCTGTTACCAAGAGCATGATGTAATAGTGGAAAACAATAAAAATAAACAACCAAATAGCCTCAATTTTCCTGTATAAAATTAATGCTCATCTCTCTTTAACAGTGGTATATTTAGACAATTCTGACTGTGTATGATCAAGTTGAGCATCAATCTAACTTGAAAAGGACACAGATTAATGAACCAAGGGAATAAGGGATGAGAGGATTCAACTGATATTTTATTAAACATACATATGCTGGGCATAGGACCTTAGCTTAATGTGTGAATTTATGAGTGTCTGAACATTGGAGTATAATAACACACACACTGAAAACTTGCTTTGTGAGTGATTGATGGGTACTTGATTATGCCATTATGGGTAGTGGGGAACATTGAAAGTGGCTGATTTTCCTGCTGTTGCTTTTAGTCAGGAGTAAAGGAGTGTGAAAAGGAGCACCCTAATATTTTCATTTCTTGCAAGTGGTTCAATGTGTCAGCCTAAAAAGATTGCTAGAATATTATTATTATTATTATTATTATTTTGTTGGCCTTGGGACTTGAACTCTGGGCCTGGGTGCTGTCTCAGCTCTTCAGCTCATAGCTAGTGCTCTGCCACTTGAGCCAAAGTGTTACTTCTGGTTTCCTGGAAATAAGAGTCCCATGGATTTTCCTGCCCAGGCTGGCTTTGAACTGCTATCCTCAGATCTCAGCCTCCTGAGTAGCTAGGATTATAGGCATGAGCCACTGACGACAGGCTTAGAATACTCTGATTATCATGGAGAGTGAGAAAAATGCTTGCCAACTGGAAAATGGTTTAAATTTGGAAGAAAGCAAAACATCTTTCTTCCAAATATCATAGGATAAGGACAAATAGGTTTACGAGAACTTGTATACATGTAAAAATGCACCTTGAGCATATGTCATCAATTGGACTTTTTAAGTGGATGATATTAAATACAGTGCATGAAGAGATGAAATGTAACTACAGGCCTGAAAGAAATGGTAGTGAATTTGGAACCAGTGTTGTCAAATCTTTCCAAACTCCATAGGCTGAAATAAGAAAGCAGTATACATGGTGTCAGAAAATTCCCATTTACAACTGGACAAACTACAATCCCTGTGTGTGTGTGTGTGTGTGTGTGTGTGTGTGTGTGTGTGTGTGTGTATGTGTCTGAGCTTTTCTTTTTTTTTTTTTTTCGGTCCGGTCGTGTGTGTGTGTGTGTGTGTGTGTGTGTGTGTGTGTGTGTGTGTGTGTGTGTATGTATGTGTCTGAGCTTTTCTTTTTTTTTTTTTTTTCGGTCCGGTCGTGGGGCCAGAACTCTGGGCCTGGGCGCTGTCCGTCAGCTCTTCAGCTCAAGACTAACGCTCTACCACTTGAGCCACAGCGCCACTTCTGGCTTTTTTCTTTTTGCTTATGTGGTACTGAGGAATCGAACCCAGGGCCTCATGCATGCAAGGCAAGCGCTCTACCACTGAGCCACCTTCCTAGCCTGACTAAGCTTTTCTTAAAGAACTATCTAACTCCCAAGATTTTTCACAGGAAGAATGCCCCTTAGACACCCTTGAGAAAATCTTTTTAATACTCCTAGCTAGGCACTGCTAGCATATGCCTGTAATCCTACCCACTCAAGAGGATGATAACTGAGGATCACATTTCTAAGTCATCCACAACAGGAAAATCCGTGAGACCCTTACCTCCAGTTGACCACAAGAAAATCAGAAGGCCAGCTGTGGCTCAATTTATGGAGCACTAGCCTCGAACAAAAGAGCACAGTGACACTGTCAAACCTTAAGTTCAAGGCCCAGGACCAACACACACACAAGTGTAATAGAAGTAATAATCATGCTTGCAGACTTGAGCTAAAAATTCAAAACCAAAAAATGTACATGAACATATAAGGATGATTGTCTGCATAGAGGAGTGGTGGGAGAAGGAAAGGAGTAGATGGTGTTAGGGTGAATATAATAAAAGGAAATTATATGTATGAGTGAAAATGCCATAACAAAATCCATTAAAATTGTAAAAGCAAACCAGGGGAGAGCGGAGACCAAGACAAACCATAGTAAAGGGGGTGAATATGAACAAAATACACATTAGGCATAAAGGAGAATAGCTCAACAAAATACTTTTATGCCATTAGTACATGCTAATTTTTAAAAGTAGATGGGTTAAATCTGACAAAACTCCAATATATACATGTAATATGTATTTTACCCTATGAGTAGGAGATCTTAAAGATCCTGTGGAAAAGGCAGGTCAAATACTCAGAATCATGTTTTAAAATTTCTTAATTTTGCCAATCTTTTACAGTTAAAAAAACCCCTGAGATTGTGAGAGGTTAGTAATTTGCTCAAAGGTACACAACCAAATTAGTGCCTGAACCAGCACTACAAATGAGCCTCTAATATTTATGAACTTACTCTCAAATGAAATTAATTTAATTCACCATTTGAAAAAAAGTAAAAATAATGTTACAGTCTCCTTAGGCCTACTAGAAGAAGAGGTTTTGTTAAACTTTTGACAGTTCAAGTATAGTTTGGAAAGCATAATAGTTGACTACAGAATTTAAACTGCTTTCAAATTGTTACAGGGTTTAATTTGAACCAAGAAAAACTGGTCGTCAGTACATATCTGCTGATTTATCAGGGGCTGTAATGAAGTGGCACAGGGCAACTGATGGATGGATGAAGATATTTAAGATAAGTCACAGGAAGGATAAACAGAGCATATAAAGGTGTCATATACCTAAGGCAGCACATGAAGGGAAATAAGTGACATTGTGCTTACACTAGGAAAAGAGAAAGATCACAAGTCAATGATCTAAGCATGCATTCCTGTTAGTAAAACCAGAGAGTTAAGAGCATGATCACTCAAAGCAAGCCAAAGGAAATTAATATAGGATCAGAAATTGATGAAATTGGAAGTAGGAAAACACACAAGAAATCCAGTAATGCCAGTATGGTTCTTTGAATGCAGCAATAAAATTTCTAGCTCCTAGAAAAACTGAAGAAGAAAGACACAATTTTATTATAATGGAAATGAAATAAGGGTGTTTTTCTGGATTTCACCAATGTTAAGTCGCACTAAGCAAACACTGAAACAACTCTGCACACATAAACTCAAGAAAAAACAGATTCCCTGACTTGAGAAACAACCAAACTTGCCCAATATACAATGGACTATTACTGATAGTCTTACAACTATTTTTAAAATTTGTTTCATAGTGAAAAAATTTATTTCACACTGTAAATCTCTCCAAATTATGTCTCCAATGAGAGGGTTGTATAATATGAATTTAAACTAATTTCACAGGAACATAGACTTCTCCAGAGAACTAGAATGGAAAATATTTCCCAAGTTCCTTTATGAGGTTAGCATCAACTCTGATTCAAAAGCTAAAATATACTAAGAGAAAGCTAGAAAATTACCAAGTACAAGGAAACCAAGGACTAATATTTCTTGTTAAACAGGGCCTTTACCAAACCACTATTAAATCAACATAAACACATACTTATTTCCTTATCAAGAGGGCAATGCCAAAGAGAAACTTGAGATAACACTTCATTCTCACTAGGATGTCACTGGTTTCAAAAAATAAAAGGAGTGACCAGCAGGGTACTGGTGGCTTACACGAATAATCCTAGCAACTCAGATCTAAGGATTATGGTTTGGAGCCAGTCCAAGCAGGAATTCTGTGAGACCCTTATCTCCAATTAACTACCAGGAAACTGAAAGTGGAGCTATGGCTCAACTGGTAGAGTACTAGCCTTGAGCAAAAATGCTCAGGGACAGCACTTAAGCCATGAATTCAAGCCCCAGACCTGGCACCACCCTCAAAAAAAAGTACAATAGGAATCGCTGGCAAGATTATGTGAAGTTGGAACTCTGACACACTGTTGGTGGAGCTGTGAAATGATGTAGCTCTACAGAAAAGAGCTGGCAGCGCATCAGAAGATTAAACATAGGTTCGTGGTGTGACTCTCCAATTCGACCTATAGATAAATATTCAACAAAACAGTAACAATATGCCAACAAAAACTTTTTAAATGTACTCAGAATTTTAATGTAAAATTGTCTTTAAAAATACTCCCATGTCAGAAATATATCCTAAACAAACCACAAATAAAGAAAATGGTAGGTGAAATACATTCAAAATAGCTAAGTTAAGAAACAATGACTTAGCTGTAATTATGTATTTCTACTATACAGATACAAGCTTCCAAATCTAGGTCTGATTATTATACATTTACAAAGAAGGAATAGGAAATCAGCCTGACTATGAAATGGCTCAGACCTTCAGCTGCTTCCACATGGCTTTGTTAGCACACTAAACAACCTCTACAGAAAGCCACTGGCCACACCGCCCACAGCATCTGGATTTCCTTCACACATCATGGAACCTGGGTCCCACTGTAACTGTAATATTGGCATAGGGAGCACTCTGGCTCAGCTCACCCACCTGTTTCTTTTTGAGGAACAACAAGCTATTAAACGTGGCAGCGACTTGTTTTGGGTTGCAGTTTTTGCACAGCTCCTTCAGACTAAAGGACCATATTCCCATCTTGTTGTGTTCCTGGGAAAGTAATTCAAACAGAGAAAAGTAAAGGGAAACAAAATCATTAAAGGAACACAGGATATGGTTAAACAATAACCAACAAAATATTGAAATTTTCATTGGTGACCATAATATCCTTCAAAGGAGCAAAACAGTACAATATGCTTAGAATAAATATCACTGGTCACTGAGCACAAAAATAGCTCACAGAGGAAATACATAGAAAAGAATTCCAAAATGTTACATCAATGTATGGTGTGATACACAAATGTTAGCTCATTTATAAATGCATGTTAATAAAAATGCCTCATATGGAAAGAGCAATTAGTCTTGGCTACAGATGGAAGAAAAATCCACAGTGCTTTAGGGCACTTCAACTCCAAAGAGAATCATCACCTTAGGAGGATTCCTCTTCTTTTTTTATTTAATTAATGTTTTTTTTATTGTGAAAATACTGTACAGAGGGGTTACAATTACATCAGCAAGGTAATGAGTACATTTCTTATCAAGCATTGTTGCCTCCTCCTTTGTTTCCCCTTACCATACCTGCCCTCCCACTGCCCCCTCCAACCCCCCCCCCCGCAAAGTTGTAAAGTTTTTCGACATAACGTCTTGTACATCTCATTGTTGCAATGGGTCAACCTGTATCCCTATTTAAGCAATTTGTTTTTTCCCTTCCCCCCACAAAAGGATACCTACCTCTTGTTAAAAGGAGCTAGATGTTTGGGGTGTGGGGGGGGGGCTATTAAACCACTTCATTGATAAATGTAGAAGTCTATTTCTAAGGAAATTGGTAGGGGTGTGGGTAAACATGTGTGGACTAGGACAGGGTCCGGGACACAGGAATCTTTAGGGGGGGGTGTAGGATGTGTTAATGGTACGGTCTAATAAACACTTGAAAACAAACATCCCAATTAATTATGATTTTATTAATTCTTTTTACTTGTATACTTTTTCTAGACTGTCTTTATTTTGGTGATTAATTGGAGATGAGTCTCACAGACTTTCCTGCTGAGGCTAGCTTTGAGCAGCAATCCTCAGATCTCAGCCTGCTGAGTAATTAGAACCACAAGCTTCAGCCACTGGCACCCCGCTTATTTATCCCTTTTAAAACAAAACAACACCAACAAACTTTCAGTAAAGAAAAAGTAAAGTAGACCCTTAAAAATATAAAGTCAGAAGAAGTTAATAAAGTACATAATGATTTTTTAAAAATTCAGATGAATGATGAAGATAACCCATAAGCAGACCCTACACCCCCTTCAAGTAAGAGAAGGAAACAATAAAGATGAAGTTCCCAAAATACTAAACAAATCTTAGAATGTAAGAATGTTAATGTTGACCAAAATACCCAGTATATGCTTAGCACAACAAAATTCAAGAAAAAAAATCTTGTAATGAACTGTCATAACAGTAGATATAAAGAAAAATCCCCCATCCTTCCAGAGTGAAAATAAGGATTGCCTGCAGAGGAAAAAAGAGCTAGCAAGAAATTGCTGTATTTGTGATAAAGACTTTCCTAAGACAAAAGCAGTGGAGAAGACACACACAAAAACCTAGTTTAAATTAGAACAAACCGATGTTGGGTTCCAAGAGGGATTCCTTGAAGAAAAAAACGTAGAACTGATCAACTGGCATAGCTGACAGTATTAGAAGATATTTTCTTTTTTTTAATTTTTATTTACTTTTTATTGTGAAAATACTGTATAGAGGTGTTACAATTACATGGGCAAGATAATGAGTACATTTCTTATAGAAGATATTTTCTTTTATCACCAGTGTATTTGGAAAAATAATTAAGCTGGGCATATGGACAAATAGTGTCAGCATGATGGAATGATTAACTCAGATAATAGAAGCATAACATTTGCAAGGAAAGAATGCAGTGACACTATGAAATTGGCATGTGGGTTTCACATGACCTTGGTGGCAGAAGCTGCTAGCTGTTCCTTAACATCTCTTCTTCAATAGAAACACTATTAACAGCTGGGTCTAAGGTGACTAAAACCAAGCTACATTGCCCAGCTAGACAGAGTAAGGTGCCTAAGTGCTGGTGGATGAACTGAGAAGAGTCAAACGGTTACATACCACACACACACACACACACACATACATGTGCACACACACATACACACACATTGTAGATTTTTCCCTTTAAGAAAGATGCTGCTGATTGAAATAGAAACATAGTGTATTCAGAACTTATGGATTTTGACAATGAGAAATAAGGAAAAAGAAACATAGCTCTGACAACTTTTCCAGCATGAACCCATGCCAGATTGCATGATTAGCTGAGAGAGAAATACACTTTCTGCTCTTTTTTTTTGGATCCGGTCATGGGGCCTTAACTCTGGGTCTGGGCGCTGTCCCACAGCTCTTCAGCTCAAGGCTAGTGCTCTACCACTTGAGACACAGTGCCACTTCCAGTTTTTTCCTTTTTTTTTGCTTATGTGGTGCTGGAATCGCACCCAGGGCCTCATGCATGCAAGGCAAGAGCTCTACCACTGAGCCACCTTCCCAGCCCCCTTGCTGTCTTTGTTAAGGAAGATATTTTGGCTCTCTGTCACAATCAAGCCTGCATTCACGACTGTTAAAATTATCACCTGGTAACACTAAAAGCTCTGCTAAAGGTATGTTAGGATGAGGAATTTAACAAGTTAGGATTGCCTTAACAAAGACAATAGAGAAAACTGAAGCCTTGGATATCAAGAAAGAACAGAAATCCTGTTCTCACTTAGAAACATGGACTTCTAAACAGAAGAGCCTCCCTCATACAGTGATGTCTGATGATGAGGGATTAGAGATAAAGAAGGGTGAACAAAGGACTGCTATCATTGCTTTGCAGCCTTTTAGCACAGCACTGTGGAACATGTTGAATAGGAATTAAATTTAAGAACTGAGTTATCAGTCTTTAGTTACTAAAATCAGTGTCATATTTAGAATTATTTGACAGTTTGCTAAAATAAGAATGGAGCACAGAATAGATATCTGGGGACAACTTTCTGGCATCAGTCCCCAACTTCTGTACTCAACAGTAGTTTGCTTCAAGCAGAAACATTTTTTTTTTCAAGCAGAAACATTTTGAAAAGATGTCTGTAATCCTAGCTACTCAGGAGGCTGAAAGCTGAGGATTATTGTGTGAAGCCAGCCCAGGCAGGAAAGTCTCTAAGATTCTGATCTCTGAATAAGCACCAAAAAGTCAGAAGTGGAGCTGCTGCTCAACGGGTAGAGAACTCAGCTTCAGGACCGGTACCAGAAAAAAGAAATGACTTTGTTTTCATAAATATCAGTGCTTGTGGTCATTGCTTCATTTAGTTTTCAAAACACAGTTGATAAATCCTACCTGTAAAGTAGTTAACACATGACACACACTTCCACTCCTTTGCACTGTCTCAGGGTTTTCTTTGCTGTTCCATAACTCCTGTTGGGATAATTCATAAACATTAAACATTTTAAGTGATTCATAACAAACATTTGCTGCTCAAATTAAAGAGTTTACACTCTGATCATGAAGATGATGAAAATAATACAAATAAACATTGACATGTGCTGATTTGCATTGCTACTTGTCCTACTATAGAGGGGACACCAAACAAGAGATTCTGTCATCTTTATTGATAATACAACTCAATGCACTCTGGCCTTTCTCTACCTTGAAATGTAAACTCAGCAGATACCCACTTTCAGTTAGCATTTTCCTACTCTTGGTTAATCTAACTCAACTGACAGGAGTAAATACAACCAACAGAAAAATTGGATTGTTAATTTAAACTTAACTGATGGTATAGAAGTTCTAAAAGTAACTGCTAGAGTTTGTGACAATTACCAAGGTAGGAAATCTTTCATATTTCAAGGCCTCTCCTTATCCCAAAATGGGTAACTAACTCACTATCTGCCCTGTGAGCTATCTGAATAGGTTCATTTTTTCAGTCTTTAAACTTTAACCACTTTGAGAAGAACCTCAAAAATGAGGTGTAGAAAGTTGAAATCTCTCTACAGAAAACTATTCCAATCCCTTACAAACTAGCACCTTACGAGCAGAAAAGGGAAAGGGCATAGGAAATGTGTTGATCCATCTGATATTAAAAAAACAAAAAAAACAAAAAAAAACCCACAACACAGGCTATCAAGGCTTGGGGCACAGAAATGGCAGCGATTAGACCCTTGGGTTTTTTGGCCAAGTTTTGTAAGCTGGCTCTGACCACACCACCCAGAAGCATCTGTGTCACCCTCATCCCATGCCCATTGTTTGTCTAGCTTCAAACCAAACTCTGGAGCACAGCTCTTTCGTCAAAGTGCTCTTAGCTTTATTGATTTCAACATGGTTTCAGAGAGTTCATGAACACTCTGCCTTACATGAGAAATCTCTTGTGGCTACAAGGATCCTTTCAGGAGTTCTAGGAATTGCTGAACCCCATTCTCACAAGCTGTGCTGGCTTCCTGGTTCTGAAGAGGCCCTATCTTTTGTTTTTTCCAATACCGTTGCTTTAATAACAGGAAATACAAGTACAAAAATATTATGCTAGTATACTTTTTATTACATGGAGATGGAATAACACATTTGTGTTTTTACCAGAATTGATATCATCCAATATTTTTGCCACAGTACAAAAGGCTTTCCACAGATTTTTTTATTCCTATGCAGATTTATAAATGAAAAAACTCAGAATTCTTTTTAACCATTTAAGATTTACATTTATCCAAATATTCCTGTTCAAGATGCTCTGGAGAACTGTTCTTTTTAAAAAATATACAATCAGCTATGCATTTTAAATGTGTAATATCATCCATTGGCCAAGATCTCCCTTATATTGGCATCACAAACACATTATGCGCTTATGTGGGGTTAAAAGCGTTGTTATTGGTTAGGTGGTAACTGATGAAATCCCATTTATAGAATTGACAATACAACAGAAAGCACTTTAGTGTCCTAAAAGTATTAAAGAAAAACAAGTTTACAAATAATGAAACCGTAGTTCCTAACTCTAAAATAGTTAACCATATCAAATAAAAGTAACATCAATTAATAAAGAAAAAGTAAACTGCTAGTGCCTAGCATTCAGCCATCCATAGCATACTTCACAGTTCTGGCCATTTCAGTTGAGTTGTTTTTTGATACACCAAAAAAAAAAAAAAAAGTATATATATATATATATATATATATATATATATATATATATATATACATATATATATATATATATATATAAAACAGCATTCATTTTGTTGGGAAGTATGAAATAATTTTCTGTACTATTTGAAATATATTTTGTTTATAAATAAATAAAGTGGGTGTTTATTTTAAATTTTAATCATTCTTGTTAAAAAATAAAACTAATGTCAACCATTAAATGAAAAACATGTATATTTAAAACAACATGTTTGGAAAACTGACTCACATTTCTTGTCAGCATTATTCTTTTCTCTTGGTAGAATCAACTTTGTTCCTTCTTTTTACATGCCAATTATAAACCCTGGCCATATCTTCTCTTACTCAAGCACTAAACATGCTACAGCATGGAGAAGAGAAAGTACAGCTCCTATATTTGAAGGGTGACTTCAGTAGTAGTAAACTGATATCAAAGAAAGTCAAGGTCCAGCTGGGAAGGTGGCTCAGTGGTAGAGCACTTGCCCTGCATGCTTGAGGCCTTGGGTTTGATTCATCAGCACCACATAAGCAGAAAAAAAAGCCGGAAGTGGCGCTGTGGCTCAAGTGCTAGAATGGTAGCTTTGAGCTAAATTTCCTTACAGTTTTTAAATGTTTTCATTACTGTGGGACAAGGATCAGAGAAACAAGGCATTAGTCGATATGCAGGAAGTCAGATTTTACTTTTTGGTTATCTCTGATTTTAGAAGTCTTGTAAGGAAATAAGACTTCAGCCTTATAAAGTCAGGGGAAAATTTTCCAGGATACTTAGTGTATGAGTTTTGGGAGGGCAACCTTTTTCAGTTTGAGAGTAATTCTTGACATGTGGCCCGGATAGGTCTCAAGTACTCTATCCTCCTGCTTCACTGTACTGCATGCTCCGGTTACAGTCATGCTCCACCATGCCCAATTGCTATTTTGACATAAAATTCAATTTTAAATATCCCAGGCTATGACGCTAAGATAGCGTTGTTTCTGGAGAATTAAGTATCATGAAAACCACAGATCAACATGTTTGACCTTATCAATCACTTTCTGTGATAAGCATAAAAACCCATGCTTTCCTGTACATTTGAAGTTCCAACATAAATTAACAAATTAATATACCAGAGAATGCTGCACATTTCATCAAACTATTCAGAGATACCTTTTCCCTTCCTCTTTTTAGGAAGGTGGGAATGGTGGGGAAAACATCTGGTCTCCCAATATATTCCAAGCTAGGCTACCTCCACTTTTAGAATTGTGGGATTTAAGTAAACTGCCACCACATCTGGCTAAAACTTGTTGACTGTTCATCTGGAGGTGGAATGCCTCAAGAGGTATAGTGCCACCCTTGAGCAAAAAACTAGACACAGCTCCCAGGTACTTAGTTTAGCACCCAAGTGCTGGAAATAAACAAAAAATTGCTTTGGCTTTGAATTAAAACTTACAACAATTTTAGATAAGGTATTAGCAATCTATAGACAGCATATATATATATATACACATACATTTATTTATTTATTTTTGTATTGCCAGGATTACACTATCTATCATTTCAATTGGACACTGTTGTTTGGGCCGAGAAGCACCCATTAAAGATAATTTTGCAGGGCTGGGAAGGTGGCTTAGTGGTAGAGCGCTTGCCTTGCATGCCTGAGGCCCTGGGTTCAATTCCTCAGCACCACATAAGCAGAAAAAGCCGGAAGTGGCGCTGTGGCTCAAGTGGTAGAGCGCTAGCCTTGAGCTGAAGAGCTGAGGGACAGCGCCCAGGCCCAGAGTTCAAGCCCCACGAATGGACCAAAAAAAAAAAAAAGATAATTTTGCAGAACATGGAAAAAGCATTTTAAAACATCCTGCTAAGGCAAATTGAAAAGGAGAAGTCAATCTGCTGGTGGTTATAACAGGGACAATCTAATTTTATTAAATGGCTTTTTATCACAAAATGCTAGTTTTTCAGTCTCAGTGTTTGGGAATCCTAGAGCCCTGTGAGGACTATGGCTGGCTGCAATAGAGCTGACTGACATTTGAATGATAAAAGTGGAAAACTTTGTGTGTGTGTGTGTGTGTGTGTGTGTGTGTGTGTGTGTGTGTGTGACTTTCTACAGTCTCCTGTCCATAGGATGAGTCTCTATATTTACTTATCTCAATGATTCCTGACATCCGGGACCTATCCTAGCCTGTCTCTGTTGAGTTCTTGATACTTACTTCTTGAAAAGTATCCTTTCGTTGATTTTCCCATAATTCCCTTAAGCTAGCCTGGGACAATCTTGGCCTATAAAATCAGAGGTTGTGGAGATACCTCAAGTTTAATCGTATCTGTCCGTTAACCTACTCCTCACTCCATTTGATATTTAATTATTAAACATGAGGTAGTCTGTATGGATAGTTCTTTATCTGTTCTCCCAGAAACTGCTGCTTGAAACCAACATCAGTTTGAAAAGTATGATCCATTTGTTCAAGGAATTCTTTGAGACACCCCAGAGAGGCAGTACCTAATTTAAATAGCCCTTTGTTGGCTACGCCTTTCAAACTTCTCTCATGACTTGCTATCCCTTTCCTTCCTAATTCCAGGACACGATTGCTGCCACTGCTGCTGGAGCTGTCACTGACACCACTTAAGAAAAGATTGTGTCTTCTCACAGGGTGGAAAGACACAAAGGAAGAAAGAAAAAGTCAGAAATTCTACATGTATCATAACCCTCCTCTGCATTGCTAGAATGCCTAAAAGGGCCAAGCTCCCTTCCCCAGTTACCATCCCTGGCCTTCATTAAGAGCTTTCCCCTCCATGTTCCCTAGAATATTCACGGAAGCTTATTGAAAGTTTAGTGAATACAAGTGTACTTTAGTGTTCACATCTTTACAGAGCTTCATCTATTAACATTTGACCTCTGTGAATTTTCAACATTTTGTGAATTCTCACTTTTGAGATAGTGTATATATATATAAAACTTCTGTTTCATTAATATTTAAAAAGGATGAATTAGAATTAACATTTTCCTATGCTTCAAACCGAGTGTGTTCTCATCCATCACTTCATATCACATCTGCCCACCAATTTGGAAGGAAAATACAAAAGGAAAGAAAGGTGAAAATAAAGCACAGGATGAAGGAGAAAATAATCAATCTTGTTCATATGGCTGCTTTGGTAACTGCTCTCATAGTTCCCTCCCTGCCAAATGACAAGATTCCATAATCCTAATCGCAATAGGAATTTGGTAAGAACTGTCTGAGTGAAAATAAAAAAGACAGGACCAACCACACACTGCATCAGTATCCAGTCCTTTATGTTGGGTGAAAAACATCTTTTTAGGCACTGTCAAAGTGTCTTTCCTCCCCAGGCATTCAGTTCCAGTCGGGGGTGGCCTTGAGCTTCCTCGGTGGCTATCTCAATACAGTGAGGACAGAAAAAACCAGAAAAGCTCTTGCCTTACAACCAGAAAAGTGGCTATTGAGAAAAAGAATTTAAACTGCATTGTTACCAATGGTATTCTCAAATAACTGTTTTCTAAATAAAAGCAAAACTTTTTTTCTTTGCTCAAGGATTTGAGATCGTGTTTCAGATTACAGGTCAACATGTTTGGTAGGTTGAACCCCATATTACCTTAGGGTGAGGTATGAATTTATAATGAGAGACAAAATATAGGTTTAAAGGAAATACATGGTGTGGGCAGGAGAGTGAGGGATGAGATCACACTGATCAAGATCCACTGCATACATGTTCAACTGAAATGTCTTGGTACAACTACTTAAAGATAGCAAGAAATGAAACTTAAAACAAGCTCACTGACTAGAGTCTGAAATGATTCTGTGACATACTGAATGGGGGGAACCTACTGAATTCTCTGTAGACTGATTCTGATACAGAAATCACTCCATGAATGTCTCAGGAAAAACTACTATTTCAGTATAAAACTGCTCTGTCTAAACTCCTAGGGAAGAATGCTTTGCAAGTGAAATTCGTATAAAATCCTGCAGTAGTGATATTTTTGCTTAATGTAATAAGAAACATCAAAATGCACCCATTATTCTACTAGAGCAGTGCTGGAAAAATATCGCTCTGATTCTCTCTGGTTACCCTACATCAGGGGTTCATATTTACCTTGGTATTCTTAGGAGAGAGACCCTTTGGTACAGTAGTCACATGCTTCCAAATTCCTGGTTGATTTAAGTGTTCCTGGGGATTTGGTTCTTCCATCACAGAGGTATCTGAATAGTCAATGGAGTAAAGATTATTTCACCATAAATACTTTTCAGATTGGATTTGAGATATGCTTGTTATTCAGAAGACTTCAGACAGACAAACTTGGAGTCCAAGAATACAGGCAATGTGTGCTCAAACGTTCTGTGGGCCCTAGAAGTCTCAGATGTTCATCTTCCCTTTCCTTTCTCTGAATCTGATCACTTCACTCCTTATCCTCTGCCCACCATCCCCTCCATACTCACTCACACAGGTACTCACAGAACAGCATGGGTAGGTCAAGCTCAATGACGTGGGTTGTCAGTAGATTCTAATGTCTTCACAAAACGCGAGAGGAACAGGAGACTCACTCACCACACAAACTGGGTGTATTACTTTGCAAATGTCCCAACAATAATCAGTATCATTATTATTCCATAAACCTTTTGTGAGGTTGGCAAATGCTAAGGTTTAGATTAATTGTACTGTTTAAGACTCTAACTGAAGTGGGGAAGATGGCAGCGATCTCACAGGTAGTCCCACTACATGTCTCTGACCAAAAAATCTAAGGTCACAGCCACACTTTACCTCAAGAGATCCACTCCAATCAAACTCTAAATATCTAAAGACTTTTCCTAGCAGGCAAACAAGGAAAGCAAAAAGAAACAGTGAGCAGGACCCCTGCGGAGCAGAGCAGCTGCACCATGCAGCTCTGCCTGCTGTGCCCAGACTTTCTGCAGACATTAAGCAGAGGAGCACCCAAAAACTGAAGAAAGCACTCAACACCAGATGTGGGGAAAGTTAGGAGGGAATCTGGTGAAGACCACGGAGTCTGCAGAGGGACCCTACTCCAGACCCTGCTCCAACCGCCTCCCCCCATAGAGAAGGAGTGAATCCAGCAATCCTGCCATTACATTTGCCAGAAGTCTGCACAACAGGGTGCGCTCCCAAAGTTAGCCCGTCCTTGCAGCTCCGGTGGGATCCCTGTGGGGGCTCGCCAACCCTGCAGGAAATGAATCCCAGAAACCACAGCTGCAGCCAATCCCTTGCTCCCCTGTCTGACTGGCCTGCTGACTGGGCACTCTACTGGGACCTGCTCCCTCCCTGTCACGACTGGATTCAGCCACAGCAGCATCAAGCTGCTGCAGGCACCGCCACTGGCACAGCTCAATGCTGCAGACAGCCCCCCCCCAAGGCTCCCCACAGCCTCCTACCACCTCTGTTGGAGACCAGCACACGCTGCCCACAACAGCCCACCTAACCAGGCTCCACCTGGTCCTCCCAGTGCCAGGACTCCCCACGCTGCAGAAGAGACCCTTCAGCTGCAGCAATACCACCCCGCACCTATACCTGCCAACACCCAGACCCTCCAACTGATAACCCGCTAGCTCCATCATGGCTGCCACAGCACAGGCTCTGTGGTCAAGTACACCACCAGCTACAGACCCTGTGAGTAACCCAGCTGGGTCCACTCCCAAGGGGTAGAAACTCTGTGGGATCCCAAAGCCCTCTGATCCAAACTCCTTCCAAAAGAGAGGGATCACATCAGAGCAGAACAAAGACATAAGCTCTGTTCCTAAAGATCCTGTGGCTACCTGGGAAGGCCTGAGAACACAGCTCCAGGCCCATGAGAGCAGTCTACAAACCTGAAACCCCCAAACTCCCTGACACCAGGCCTGAGAGTGGGACTCTAGATATTGGTCACCCTCCCTCATCAAAAGGCCATCTGTTCCCGACCAAGCCACAAGGAAAATGGACTACTGCAAGTCATACAAGGTTTTATCAGGAACTGGCCTTGAGGACTACATAGAGAGTCAAGCTACCTCAAACAACCCGAAAAACCCACTCTTTAGGGGATTTGTTTGTTTTTATGTCTGATGGTTTGCTGTTTGTTTTTATTCTGATGTGTTACTTTTGTGTATTTTTTTTAGGATTTGTTATTTCACTTAAATCTTCTATTTTTCATTATTACTTTGTTTTTGAATTTCCTAATTTTTATTTTTTTCCCTCTCACTCTTTGAATAAAACTTTTTCTAATCTCAGCAAGTCTCCCAAATATACTTATATACACTTATATAACTTCTTTTTTTTCTTCATCTAGATCTCTAAGCTATTCCCTAAATTACATTTCTTTGAATTTTCTGTCTCTTATACTTGGAAACAAAGTCTCTGTTCTCCTACTACTACATATACTTCTCCCCTAAGCTATTCTTACCCCTCTACTATCATTATACCCAATTTGTCTTCTGAACTTAAATTTATGTATATCCAATCCTAACCCTTCTCTTCTCCATCCACTCCAGTCCATTGATCCCTAATGGCTTATATCTGATCCAACTTACAGTTGGTTCTATTTTGAATGAGTACAAGGTGCCCAACCTGTTAACTCTAAGGAGAAGACTACTTATTAGCCAAACCCAGATCATCTCAAATGTTACAACTATACATAATCTCTATGTCAGAGCCACAACATCCCTCTCCAAGCAAAGAAAAAGAGAGCTAAATAAGGAAACACCTACCCATAATTCTGAAACTCTAAGATCTATACATCTACATGACACAGGGTTGGCTCCGGCCCTAAAAGACTGTCCTATTGTCATACCTGTGTGGTTCTTGTCTCCAAATGGGTAGAACTAACCACAGAAACACAAGAAACATGGACAATCAACAAACCCCAACACTATCTCCACATGAACAAGCTATAAAGCAGTCCCAAAATGACCTAGAGGATAATGCTCAAGATAGTATTAAGGCATGGCTGGTAAATCTGCTGAACAAAAATTTGGGACACCCTGCATAGGGCTATAAGAGAACATGATAAGGTCAACCAGAAGCTAATAGATGACTTCATGGCCTCCACAAATAAAAGGATAAAGGAAATCCAACAGAGGAAGAAAGAATCTAATGAAAAGATAGAAACCCAGATAAAGGAGTGGAAAGAGAAGTCAAAAAACCAACTCCAAGAGATAAGGCAATCTATTCAAGACTTAAAAGAAAACTTTGATAATGAGTTGGCCACCATTAAGAAAGACCAACAAGAAGGAAATGAGGTACGTGGCAAAGTAAAAAGCCTTGAAAACAGAATGGAGAAAGCAGAAGAAAGAATCTCGGAGGCAGAAGACAGTTTAGACTCCATAGAGAAAGAGCACACAGATATTCATAACAAAACCAAGAAGTATGACAGATCACTGCAGGAAATACAGGATACATTCAGAAAGCCTAATTTGAGAAAAATAGGTAGACAAGAGGGCCTGGAGAGGGAAGCCAATGGATTAGCAAATACATTCAGCAGAATCCTAGCAGAGAACTTCCCAAATATACAAAAGGACAGGCCCATCCAGATACAAGAAGCTTTTAGAACCCCAAATAGACCAGACCAGAACAGGTCATCCCACCACCACATTATAATCCACACTGGATCAAAAGCCACTAAAGAAAGAATTCTGAAAGTTGCCAGGGAGAAGAGAACAATCACATATAAAGGTAACCCAATCAGAATTACCTCAGACTTCTCAGCAGACACCATAAAAGCAAGGATGGCCTGGAAGGAGGTATGCCAAGCACTAAAGACAAATAACTACCAACCAAGAATGATCTACCAGCTAACCTCTCATTCATAGCAGAAGGACAAATAAAAACCTTCCACAGCAAGGAAAAACTGAAGCAATATATTGCTACCAAGCCAGCTCTACAAAAATCCTCAAAGATGTTCTGCACATAGAAAACCAATAAGAACAGAATACAGGCAATGAAATGGTCCACAAACAGAGAAATATGTAATCACAACAAGAACAGCCATGGCACAGCTCCTGCACCCCACAAAAAATGGATAAAAAGGCAGGGATAGGCAAACAACCTCTCAATTCTAACTCTCAATGTTAATGGACTTAACTCTCCAATTAAGCAACATAGATTGCCAGTTTGATCAAAAAGCAAGATCCTTCTATTTGCTGTCTTCAAGAGACACAACTCACCCACAAAACTAAACATATTCTGAAAGTAAAAGTCTGTAATGAAATCTACCAAGCAAATGGCCTCCATGAACAAGAGGGAGTTGCAATCCTAATATCAGATAAAACAGACTTCAAATTAAAATCAATGAGAAGAGATAAAGAAGGTCACTACACACTAATTAAGGGATCTTTCCTTCAGGAGGATATTACAATATTAAGTATCTACTCACCAAATAACGGAGCACCCAAATTTATCCAATAAACACTATTTTCCCTCAAATCACACATAGATCCTAAAACAATTATTGTTGGGGATTTTAACACACCACTATCCCCGCTAGATAGATCAACCCAGCAAAAACTGAACAGAGAAACCTTGGATCTTAAAATCAGCATAGATCAAATAGACTTAACAGACATTTACCGAATATTTCACCCAGCAGCATCAGATTACACCTTCTTCTCAGCAGCACAATGAACATTCTCCAAAACTGAACACATTCTAGGCCACAAAACAAATTTGTCCAAATTCAGAAACTTTAAAATTACAGACTGCATTCTCTCAGACCACAAGGGAATAAAATTAGAATTCAACACCTAAAACCACCAAAGGAAATCTTGTAACACATGGAGGGTGAACAACACACTGTTGACCCTCCACTGGGTCATGGAAGAGATTAGAAAGGAAATTCAAATGTTCATGATAGTTAACAAAAAGGAACACACAAACTATCAGTTCCTCTGGGACACAGTATAGGCAGTACTCAGAGGCAAGTTTATAGCTCTGAGTTCCTACATTGACAAATTTGAGAGATCTGAAGCCAACAATTCAATGAGGCACCTAAAACTCCTTGAGAAATAACAACAAGTGAAACTCCAATCCAGTAGATGGAAACAAATAATTAAAATTAAATCAGAATTAAATGAATTAAGAGTCCAATAAACTATAGAAAGAATCAACAAAACAAAGAGTTGGTTCCTCAAAAAAATTAATAAAATTGACAGGCCCTTAGCAAATCTTATCAGCAAAAAAGAGAACACGCACAAATAAACAACTCAGCAATGAGAATAGAAACATCACTAAGAAACAAACAAGATTAAAAATATAATAAGGGGATACGTCTCAAACCTTTATGCTAATAAGTTTGAGAATCTGAAAGATAAGGATGAATTTCTACCAAATTTCTACCAAATACTGACATGCCCCAACTAAACCAAGATGATTTAAACCAACTTAACAGACCCATATCAAGCATCGAAATAGAAACTGCAATAAAAGAACTCCCACCCAAGAAAAGCCCAGGACTGAATGCATTTACAGCTGAATTCTACAAGGCCTTCAAAGCAGAACTCACACCAATATTCCTCCAATTCTTCAATGAAATGGAAAGCGAAACTTCACTACCAAACTTTCTATGAAGCCATCATAAACCTCATCCCCAAACCAGGCAGGAACTCATCAAAGAAAGAGAAATATAGACCCATTTCTTTCAAGAACATCAATGCAAAACTTCTCAACAAAATTTTGGCAAATTGAATTCAACAACTCATCAAAAAATCATAAACCACAATCAAACAGGATTCATTTCAGGGACGCAAACCTGGACCAACCTAGGCACATCAATTAATACAATTCATCACATCAACAAGATCAAGGATAAGAACTACATGATTATCTCAATTGTTGAAGAATGAGCATTTGTTAAGATCCAACTCTCCTTTAAGGTGAAAGCATTGGAAAATCTAGGAATCCATGGAACATTTCTCAATAGAATAAAGACAGTGTATGACAAACCTACAGCCAGCATTATACTTAATGGCGAAAGTTAAAGCCATTTCCTCTAAATTCAGGAACAAGACAAGGATGTCCACCCTCTCCACTCCTCTTCAACTTAGTATTAGAATGCCTAGCTAGGGCATTAAGACAAGATGCAAACATAAAGGGGATCCAAATTGGAAAAGATGAAGTAAAATTGTCTCTCTTTACGGATGACATGATCTTGTATTTAAAGAACCCCATGGATGCCACTCCCAAGTTTCTCGACCTGTTCAGAAACTTTGGCAAAGTAGCAGGGTGTAAAATTAACCCTCAGAAATCAATGGCTTTCCTGTATGCCAATTACAGGAAGAGCGCTGCTGAAATCACGAAAGCAACTTCTTTAATAATAGCCCCACAAAAAATAAAATACTTAGGAGTTAACTAAAAAGATGAAGGACCTGTATGACAAAAACTTTAAAGACCTGAAAAATGAAATTAAAGGAGAACTAAGCAAATGGGTAAACTTCCCATGGTCCTGGATTGGGAAATATACATCATGAAAATGACAATATTTCCCAAGGCTATCTATAAATTCAATGGGTTACCTATCAATATCCCCACCTCATTCTTCAAGGAAATAGAAGAAGCAATCCAAAAATTTATATGAAACAATAGAAGACCCCACATAGCAAAAAAAAATTTCTTAGCAGAAAGAACAACATTGGAGGAATATCAATTCCGAATTTCAAACTCTACTACAAACCCATAATAATAAAAACAGCTTGGTTCTGGCACAAGAACAGACCTGAGG